GGACTATTGTGAAAGCAACTCACAGCGTATCGTTTTACAATTTTTATTTAATGAACAAGCATGTCAATGCGAACGGTAACGTGGGTGTAATAGAGCGTTGCTTAATGTTTTTCAATGTTTGAACCACTTCGAGTGTCTAATTGGCTAACTATCGTACTTGAGACAACGATACACGTGGAATTTGTATTATGAGAATAGCGTTTAGACTTTTGAATATTCATTGACAGCTGTTACCGGGTAAATCAATTGCCATGGACATGGCTCGTCGATTCGCATAGACGTTATCAATGCGTATGTTCCTCTAATGAGCCTGTAAAACCACGGGAAACGTGTGATGTTTCCTGTTTGCTCGTTGCCACAGGTCCAAGGAAAAACATCGTTTTTGTTATCGTTCAATCGCCGTTGTTGTAAATAGGTATTTTGTTTCATATTCACCATTGGGTATTTCAATGTATCTCTATTCGTATGTAAAGTCTCGTATCAGAGTCTACGCGTATTGATTGAGCCGTGCTCCTCGTTAATAACCCTTTCAATTCCAAGGGCGCCATGTCGGCGCCGTAAACACTTGTTCCTACTCAACTCCGTTATTTGAGTATCCTTCCACATAATTATACGTGGTGATGCCCGTCCGAATCGGAACGAAGTTCCTCAATACTGTGGAAATTTGAATCACTTCGAACCTGGGAATTCATGAATGACTTCAATGTTTTAATAAACGTCAGTCTTGATCATCTTAAGGTTTCTTGATTACTTTGAATGATTGGTGGAATAAGTGAGATAAAAGATACAGGTTGAAAATGATTAATTACTGTGATTTTTCTTTTTGATTTCCGATTTTTAATTGTTTTAGTTTATACCTACATTGACTGGTTTTTATGAAACTTTATACATGCACATAATTTACTTAGATCTACAATTTATGATGATGAATCAATGCTGTTGCTTGCAAATTTATTAGATAATGTTCTAGATTTTCTTTATTGAAATGAAGAATTTAACACGCGCGTCCCTTACTCCTTTCTTCGTGATTCTAATAGGAATTTTTTCACACATTATCTAAGAATCAAAGTCTTGAAATTATAAAATAAAATTTGGTTGATTCATCCGATATTAAAATAATTATTCCGGTTGGAAATGTGTTCGAATGTTAATGAGGATCTCTGCATGTTGAAATGCTATTCAAACAAAACTTCATTGTTCATTCATTATCATTACAATTTTAAGTCTTTATTCTAAAGAGAAATATTCCCTTTCTCTTCAAAAGCGTCGGGAGTCAGAAATAAATAAGATACCTGGAAATGAAAATTGAGGGACCTTGGAAAATCGCGGATTTGGAGAGCCGAGCGTCGCACCGATACGAATATGATGCTTTCACTTGTGCAGTTCTCGCCGTCCACGTAACGTTTCCGTCGGCTTCTTTTCTCCTCGTTCACTCGGTTACGTGAACATGGAGAAATTTCGTATTTCGCACAATTCGTACAGACCGTGTCTAAGAGTCACGGCTGTTTTTCCATTGAATTCGCGTGAAACGATCCCAACGCAAGAACTCAAGGCGTGAGTACGGATTTCGTTAATTGTGCAACCTGTGGATTTGTCGTATCGATTCACCTTGTGAATTCGAGCCATAGTGGAAAACCCGAGCCTCTTTGCGCAACTCGTTTTGCCGGACGATTAACACGTTCGCGATTGGCGACTTTAAAACGGTGCGGATTGAAAATCTGAAAATAAATGTTGGTAGGAACGAAAGGAATTAGCGTTCGGCGAATCGATTTCTCGCGCCTCGCACGTGTCAAGTATGCGCGACCTATTACGAAGCTTTTTCTACAACTTTTCAACAGTTTGATTAGAGGTTTGTTAGAAAGATAATATTAGGTTCGAGCACGAATAATTGGTATCTTTCATTCATCCATCATACCTTCTAGAACGATGAAATCTAATAAGAATTTCCGTTGATTTAAATATCATTTATACATTTGCATGTACATTTTCCTGTTGGCATCTGATATGCACTTTTAATTAGATATCGGATTTGTGCAATAATAATTATTGACATGCTATACGTATGCGAGAACTGTAGTAATATCGATTCAGTAATATCGCAACAGGTGATTCTCAAAGCTGTTTAAACAACGGAATCTCCGTATTTCATCCAAATAACAGTAAGACAGCTTTCTATTTTCTTCTGTAATTTACAAAATTTGTCTTCGGACGATTTGCAAAAATCGACTTGAATTTTCGTCTTAGCGATAATGAAGCGATCGGGTTTCCTCGTGAAATGAACACGCGGGGGTCCCTCCCGAGCGTCCCCGGCCCTGACTGCCAGCCGAGGGAATCCATGTCAAGGTAGTAAAAGCGACCACGAGCAAGCTCGAGACCGCCAACATGCACACCTCTGCCCACTCTCTCCCTCTCTCTCTGTCTCGCTTTATATAGATCACAGTCTCCTCGCGTGGATTCGAATGTCTTGGCGACCCACTTGCCCCTCGCCGACGCTTTTCGCGCTTTCCGCGGAACGAACGTCTTCGCCAGAAGCGCATCAAGATGATTGTTGGATGAAACCGAGACCAGCTGCTCGGCTGATTCATAAATGTATAAGTTCCAGTGACAATTCTCATTTCTCACTAGAGATTATTGTTACAAATGAGAGAACGAGAAATTGCATTCCGTCTTGAAATAATAATAGGGGACAATTATTTCTTTTTGTTGTCTCATTATACTTTACAAGAAGAGATTTTTATATACCGTGTCCTCATTAATATCCGGGCATGACATTTTTAATATTGGAACAATTATATTTTTTTTAAATGTCAGAAGACAGATCCCCGGATAATGTACAGAAAAATTGTTGGCTAATAATAATTTTTTTCTATAGAGTACCTAGGAAAATAAGTCTTGAAACAGCTAAGAAAATGTTGATGTATTCAATATTAAAAAAGTTATTCTGTTTTGAAGTATGTCACAATATTAATGAGGGTTACTGGACTACTAATTGAAGAAAGGGAATACAATTTTTATAAAATACTCGATGGTTTTTGAAGAACATAAATATAATGTAAATTTAAAATACATGGGATAAACATACAAATAAATAGGCAGTGAATGAAATTGAATAAAATTTATGTAAAATACTTGAAACTCCCTGGAGAACATTTTACAAATTCAGAATTTAAATCAGACGGGACAGACATACAAATTAACAGACAATAAATGGCACAGTATTATGAGAGGAACAAAACAAAATTTATATGAAATACTTGAAAGTTTTTGAAGGACGCTTTACGAACTGAAAATTTCAATCAGAGACGAACCACCGCTCACTGCGAGGCCGGAGTTCGCGTGTGATCGTCCTTTCTGCGGACCGTTTTAAAGGAACACAGCTGCATCCCAGTGGCGAGTATTTACGTACGGTCGCGTACTCGGGCGAACACCTGCTGATATTAGCTGCGACGCAGCGCAGGTGCATCTACCTTTGCGCACGACACCTTGAACGAGCGTAGTGCCGCGCGATATTTCACGATCTGTCCACCGGCAGACGTACTGACAAATCTCCACCTCTGTTTTCTCTTTGCTCGCCCGCCGCTTTCCTGTTCGAGACGATTTTATTTAAGATTAGTCGTGGCTCGCGTTTACACGCTGTTCCAAATCGTTCTCAGAGCTACCGATCGAGATAGCAAGAGTAACGTAGATTTGGGACAATTAGGATGAAGATCTTTACATGCTATTTTCTTTTTAGCAGATTTGATTGTAGTCATTAGGATTTTTATTTAATCATTTTTTTAGATTACCCAATTTTAAGAGGCGTTTGTGAAATTTGATCTAGTGTTGAAAAACCGAGTTTAAAAATAGAATTGTCGATTAGAATTAGATATCGCATGGAACTCAATTTGCGAGTCGCCCAGATTTTTTCGAAATAAAATGTATTTTGACGAAGAGATTAGGAAATGGGAGCTTTGGCCTCAGATAATTTCACGAGACTCGAAGAAGAGGGGAAGAACAGATAATTCGGAAGTGAAAAGTAATAGATTTCGTAACAGCGTTCAAATCGATTTACACGATTGAAAGAGTGAATGAATTAGAGCAGAAAGTTAATGAAAGAAGTGAATGAAACTCATGTTTTTCGTAGTCTTTACATCGAAAATGGTAATTTCGTTTAAAAGACGTAAACACTTTTTTATTCTATACTTTGATATGTAATACTAATAATATTCTATTAACATTGAGATAATCATTATTATGTAATTTTCTAAGCTTTAATTTTAGAATATTTCTAAATTTTAGAAAATTACATAATGGCTTGATAAGCGTGCGAGTGGAAGTAGAAACGAAATTCTTATCAGCTCTTAATGGTTACATTTCAATATTCTATCTGAACGCACGCGAGTATTGTCGTTAATCGTGGCGTTCTTGAATGCAGTTGCACAAAAATCTACTAATTGGACAGGATAGTCACCCAGTTATTCGAAAGTAAGAACGTCGATTGAAAGTTCGGACGATCGAAAGTCTGACTGACAGCCATTCGAATAGAAAGTCAAGTTGGTAGTATTTCGATAACCGAGCGGCGATGAAAGTAGTTACCCGTATTCCGTACGCAATAGAAAACGCTCAGAAAAATGCTATTGCCATAATAAACACGTTTTCTTATAATACCAATCCTTCCTAATGCATATTCACAAACTCTATAAAAAGATCGTGTCTTTCAATGGCAAATTAAATGTCCCCGTTTCTAAATTTCTACTCATTAGCTTATGATTACATATAGAACGATAGAAAAAGATGCCAGTGAGTAGAAATCGTTACGTGAACAGAAACTGGGCCATTACTTAATAAAATAATATGAACAGCCCCCAAACTTCCGTCGATTGTTCTCATTGTCAAGCATCATCACGCAATCTTCGCTATCATGTCCATAATAATAGAAAGAAATTCATAGTCGTAATATGCTTAAACGAGACACCTATCATTAAAGCGTCGACGAATAAAGACCGTATTTCTGGTTACAGTAAACCTGGCGGACAGCGGAGGCCAGAGGGTAGACATGACGCACTTCGATCTGCTGAAGGTCCTTGGAACTGGAGGTACGTGAACGAAATTCTTTATGATAGCGCGATTAAGTCTGTGCCGGTACAGCTTTTCGCATTCGAGATTGCCTTGGTATTCAGCAACCGGTTGATTTTTAATTACTAGACTGCGGAATTTTATGCAAAATAAATTATTTATAGTGTCCGTTTAAAAAATCTGTTTTACATAGACATTTTTCTTTTCATTTCAACATTACAGTATGGATTTTCCGTCTGCAATTCTGTATATCGTTATGCATTCCAGGCAGTGTTTATGTTTCTTTGCTCATTCAATTTCCTCATAAATGTATAAAATCTGTGGTTTATTAATTACCAATCTCTTGCAAGGAATTTTTCTTCAATGAAAGTGGATATGTTAGACTCTTTTAATAAAGTAGAAGTGCAACCATACTCGTTAATGGACAAATAATATAATTTGTAATATCTGACATACAGTCCTATTAATATTCCTATCCATTTCAAAACTGAATAACTATTTTAGTATTGCATCAAAGAACTTAACATTCTTTTACTATACGGAGTGAGTCAGAAATACGTTTACAACAATTTGTTATTTAATGAGTTTATCAGAACATCATTGATGGAGACGATTAAATTAATTCTAACATAATAAAAAAATATGTTTGTCAGAGTTTATTCGAAGTAATTAAAAAATTTAAAGATGATACTTCTTATCCTGTATGACTTACCCGGTACAATGTGTAATGAAGAATTGCTATTCGTTGAAAGACTTTTAACTTTTTTATTAAGATGTCCAATAAAGATTTAAAACATTCCTTATGTAGATTTAAGTAAGTTATAGGTATGTACAAAGTTCCATCAAGATTGGTTGATATTACTTTGAGCCACAATCGTTTTAACGTCTTAAAGAAAATTAAGTTATTTGATCCAATATTAAAAAAGTTAATCATTTTTAAATGGTTATGAATATTAATGGGAGTGACTGTAACGTTTTTATCATTGAAGAATTCGATCAGGCATTGAATGTTTGGGGATCAGACCATAATGGGAATATGTCTTTTGTGCAGCTTACGGAAAGGTGTTCCTGGTGCGAAAGAGAACCGGCGCTGATATCGGCCAACTCTACGCCATGAAAGTCCTGAAGAAAGCCTCGATCATCCAAAGGAAGAAAACAACGGAACATACCAAGACGGAGAGACAAGTTCTGGAGGCTGTTCGAGACAGTCCTTTTCTAATTACGCTGCATTACGCTTTTCAGACAGATGCAAAGCTCCATTTGATTTTAGGTAAAACCATTTTCTTATTTCAATAAGACTCATTTCAATCTAGCATACACGAATCATTTATCTTCAAATCATTTTTTCCATTCGTGTACAAAATTTATACCTTGAACTTCGCGAAAAAATATTTATTCAAAAAAGTGGTGTTAAAATGTTAATATTTGTTAGATTTATAAGAAATAAATGCAAAGCTTTTAACATTCGACAGACAAAAAAGCCACAAGTTTGTTTTACATACAAAAAACTCAATTTCAGATTCAGCTGTGTATCAAAATAAGAAATGATTTCTAAAATACGGTAGAGTCGCGAGAGCATCGTTAAGACGTTCGTGCAATATTGTGCAATCGTCTTGCCTCGTGGAAACGTATAATCATTTCTTCATCTCGTTTCCCTCTAATTACTTCTCTGCACAAAGTATTACAATATACGCATTATCCTCTTCGCAACACGCGAACGAGTGTTCTTTTAGAATGTCAATTTAATCTCTGCTTATCAATCCAGAGTGCAATTACTTTTTCTCTTTATCAATTTCGTTGGTGATTCGCGAGAATGGAGATTATAAGATGTTTAGACGCACGCTTCGGATTATATCGTCTGGTTCCAAGTTAAACAACCAACAATTTTGCGTTGTTTTTGCAGATTATGTCAGCGGCGGCGAGTTGTTTACCCATCTGTATCAACGAGAACACTTTAACGAGGACGAAGTGCGAATTTATATCGGCGAAATTATTTTAGCGCTAGAGCAACTACACAAAGTGAGTACCTTATAAATATTATGTTCTAATGTTTGCTTGACAAGTGATTTTTATGCAAAATAAAACTTGTAGGGTGTCGATGTAAGGAACTATATTTAGTAAAAATGTCGTTTAATCCTCAAGTATCATGCTATCGATTTTATTGTTCATACTTTATGCACTTTTGTGCACTATTATTTTTTGTCTTTTTACATATTCAATCTTGCTATAGATACATCAAATCCGCAGCCTAATTACAAGTTTGAGATATCTATGTGATTAAAATTAGAGGTCTGAAAATTTTGGGAATCCCGAAAATGTCGGATTTCTTAATTATCTCGAGAGTCGCGAAAATGTTCTGGATTATCGAAAACATTCGGCAGGTAATAATTATGATATTTTATTTTATATTTTCGTTTAAAAGGCTAATTATAACTTATTTCGTATCTTATTTTCCAACGCCTATAATTCTATACTAACAAATTACATAAGTAAAAATGAGTATAAATGAATAAATTTGATGTAAATTTTGAGAACGCTTGAACTATCGAAAATCTGACACCAATTGATTGATTTTGTTCAGTCTCACAACGATAATCAAATCCTTGCAATTTTTAACAATTTCGAACAGTTTCTGGATTCCTGAAATTTTCGAGAACCCGTCCCGTTCCGATCGTCGGGCTCCGGATATTTCCGGGTAACTCGCACGCCTCTAATTAAAATTTACTGACGAGCACTGGAGCCTAGTTTAATCTTCATTCCAAACTCCTAGATAACAAAACTTGAACAAGGAATAGTAGTATCAGTCTCATGATTCAACACTTAATCAGTGAACATTACTGGGTAGACGATAAAATATTAAAATATTCTCTTGTTATCTGACAGAATGATCGACTGAAACGCACAATGTTGCCTTTTCTGTTGCAGCTGGGTATAATTTACAGGGACATTAAACTAGAGAACATACTGTTGGACAGAGAGGGACATATCGTGTTAACAGATTTCGGACTGAGCAAAGAGTTCCTGCCGCACGAAAGGGACAGCAACGCCCGTGCTTACTCCTTTTGCGGAACTATCGAGTACATGGCACCGGAAGTGGTACGAGGGGGCTCCGCGGGACACGATATTGTGAGTCAGGATGAATTTACGTCACGATTTGTTCCCTTCGTTCCTGGAACTTCGTTATCGCGCTCGTGTTCCCCATTTGTCGGATACATTTTTATCGATTCCGTTCACCCTTCTTTTCCGTGGGCTCGCTTTCGGAAAGATAGCTTAGCTTAAGATCTCAATAAAAATAAAACTTTCCTTCAATTATTTACGAGTAATTCTCAGACTTCTATTAATTAGCGTTTTCGTATTTTCCTCTTGTCAAAAGAGTATAAGATGACATTTGATACAAACAAAGAGGATTTATTTTTTATACATAAATTACTAGTTTATTAGATTTTACTTCGAAATTTTAATAGGGAACGACATGAATCTTACTTTTTTCCTGATGAAAAACGGTGATATTTGCTACATTGGAAAAGTGTCTAGAATATACACTAACGTCCGGATGATGATGTTTCCAGGCGGTGGACTGGTGGAGCGTGGGCGTGCTCACGTACGAACTCTTAACCGGCGCTTCTCCTTTTACGGTCGATGGCGAGAGAAACACGCAGCAAGACATATCTCGCCGGATCCTGAAGACCGACCCACCGGTCCCGAGTCACCTGAGCCCGACCGTTCGCGATTTCATCCTTCGGCTTCTGGTGAAAGACCCTCGGCAAAGGCTTGGCGGTGGTCCGACCGACGCGAAGGAACTGAAGGAGCATCCATTCTTCCAGACAGCTCCACCTCCATTCACGTGGGACCTACTGGAAAAACGCGAGATCACTCCGCCTTTCGTTCCTCGTATCACCCACGAATTGGACACCAGTAACTTCTCCGACGAGTTTACCCAAATGTCTATTGCGGCCGACAGTCCCGCGGTGGTTCCACCTAATTATGACAAGATCTTCAGAGGCTATTCTTACGTGGCACCGTCTATATTATTCGGGAATAACGTAGTCAGTAAGGATATCGTCAAGGAAGCTACAAAGGCCAGCACGGAGGGCCAGAGACCATCAGCGGCGGACGTGTTAGCCGCCAGATTCGAAGAGTCGACGTTCTTCCAGACTTACGAGCTAGATTCGCGAGAGGAAGCTTTGGGCGACGGTAGCTTCTCAGTATGTCGCAAGTGCAGGCATAAGAAGACGTTGCAGGAGTATGCTGTGAAGATCGTCAGTCGAAGGGTCGACTGCGGGAGGGAAGTGGGCTTGTTGAGGGCCTGCCAAGGACACCAGAACATCGTCAAACTGGTAGAAGTGCACCATGACAGGGCGCACACATATATAGTGATGGAATTATTGTCCGGCGGAGAACTCCTGAGGCGGCCGAGGCCGTTCACCGAGCAACAAGCCAGCAGAATAATGCGACAACTCGCTTCCGCTGTTCGATTTATGCACTCAAGAGGCGTAGTCCATCGGGATTTGAAGCCGGAGAACATAGTGTTCGCTCACGAAGGCGAGGATGCGCCTGCGATCATCGTGGACTTCGGTTTCGCCAGAATAAAACGTGGCTGCGAGCCTCTCCACACTCCGTGTTTCACGTTGCAATACGCGGCGCCGGAGGTAGTCGCTTGCCAAGGCTACGATCAAAGCTGTGATCTCTGGAGCCTGGGCGCGATCTTGTATTCCATGTTGTCCAGGAAACAGCCGTTTATAACAGGCTCTCCGGACTTGGCCACAAGAATCAGGGCCGGTGAAATCGATTTCGACAGCGAATCTTGGAGTCACGTGTCTAGTCTCGCCAAACAAGTAGCCAAAGGGCTGCTGACCGTGGATCCTAACAAAAGACTGACAGCCACCGGTTTGGCAAAACATCCGTGGCTGCACGAATCGAACTCGATCGATGACGGAACCTCGCCCGAGGTAATCGCGATAGATAATTGCAGTGCCTCGGTGGAGAAGTCGGAAGGCTTCCGGTTGCGCGAAGTCGACGGTGCTCGTCTCGCGCAGCGTCGGAAGCTTCATAAGCGGTCCACTTCCAGTTCTGTGTCGTCTTCCGCTTCCACTACATCTTCCAGCCCTTCCGTGCAACTCCTCCGGCCACCGAGCACTACTACCAACCCGGCTACTTCCGCTTCACCCGCGCAGCCGAGCGTCTTCGATTTCGGCGAAGACAAAGTCAATGAGTACCTCAGTTCCTTGTCCTCCTCTTCGGATTCGAATTCGCCGAGGATCATGTTACAGGAAGAATCCGCGAACAAGGATAGGCACAAGCGGGAGGAGGACGAGGAAGCTAAGAAGAGGCACGAGAGGCACGAGAGGCACGTGGAAACCGACGAGATTTACAAAAGTAGAGTCGGTCCGGTGACCAGATCCAGAAAGAGGAAACTGGAGGAAGAAACTGTGAACGGGGACGAGTCACCGGTGACGCACTCCTGCGAGACGAGCCACGTTGACTGCCAGGAGATTCACCGTAAACAGAAGGCAGGCAAACGGCCCAAGAGGCTCGCCAGCATCGTCGTCGATTAGACGAAACCGTCGCCTCGCGTCTCCTATGTACGATGTGTGCATTTCAGGTGATGTTCTTAAATGTCGGCTGCCTTCGAAGCTCGAATCGTTTCGGGCGACACATTGCGTCATTCCTATTTCCGGGACATCGCTCGGGGCCCACAAAATCTAATTAATGGTATCTAAAACCAATGTTATGAAATGTTACAGGAGTTCGTTAAAGATTCGAACATATTTTCTTTTTATTACGTGAGTTCTATTCATTAATAGGCCACGTTGTCAAACCAATGTTTCTAAACGCTTATTAATGAATAGAACTCGCGTAAGAAAAAAAAAATATGGTCGAAACTTTAACGAACTCCTGTAACATTGCATAACATTGATTTTAGATACCGTTAATTAGATTTCTTGGTTGCCCGTAAGTTAATTAGTTTGTATGCGATATTTAATATTCTTTTCCAATTCGTTAATTTTTTTTTCCGTTTAGTTTTATAACGTGGAAATTATGTTGGAAGTGATGAACATTGAAGTGATGTTGGCTTAGTTGACTCTCCGATGAATCTGTACAGGATTTAAAATGGCGTCCCTAAACAATACGGTTCCTTATCGCAATCTTAAATTATATTGTCGTAGGTACCTTTAATTTTATGCCATGTTTAGGATTACGTATCACCGAAGGGAGCTCTGGGAAATGGTACTTGAAGTAGAAAATAACGGATACGTGTTCCTCCTTTATCTTAATACACAATTCTGAACAAGCGTTCATCATTCCCATCGTTCACCGCAGTTTGCCTGATCGCGAGACCTTCAAATAAGATTTCATTTATTTCATAGTAAATAATTTTCTGTTCCATCGATATAAGCTATTTTTTTAAATACTGTACTATGCTATACCTGGTCAGCTCCTTTATGTGGATACTAAGTGATGTACATATTAATAAATCCCAGAATTAACTCGTGGAACGTTCTCGATGTTGGAGAACGTCGAGTCGTCGATTTGTACAGAATAAGAAATCGAAACGCGACGAGAGGTCAACGAAACGATACACGGGAGTCGGTTCCGTTGACTGGGTCCTCTTTCCTCGCGTTGTCTGTGATCAACCGTGTAAAATGAAATACGAGAGAAGTCGTCTAATTAGTTGATCGTTTCGTTGAGTCTTGAACTTCTTCAACACCCTCTGCTGTATGATTTATCTTTGAATGAAGGAGAATAAGGTAAACCTAGAGAAGAATGACGCCTTCGTAAACAAACGGCGGGCTGAGAATCGTAGCAAGCGAGAACTTCGAAACATACGTTCCCTCTAGTATTCTTTAATTATTTCGTGCTACTATGATTTTCAACCCGTAAGAACTCGATTCGTGGAAATCACGCATAGAAAATGTGCCTCAGAAAGAACGACGATTTGTAAAGGAGTGCATGTTACGTATGTGTGTGTGTGTGAGAGAGTGTGAGAATAAGTATCTTCTCTTAGTCGTAAAAACAATTTCCGTATTGCACGCGTTTCGTTTTTGCGACTAAGGGAGAAGATGTTTATTATTTAAAGTAACCGGAAGAAGAGAATGGAAAGGGGCGCGTGTACTCGTGCATTAAAACAGAGAAGAGTAAACGTATTGCAACATACGCGGTTATATAAATATAATATACGTGCATATTACAAAGAAAAGTATACACGGACTGTAATCGAAGTACGCTTCTGTTCAGACGAGCATATACGTTAATATCGGATAACATGCTATTCTTATACATTGATTTTTAGTCCTGAATCTTTATAAGGAAAATAAATATTATATATTGTAAGAAGAAAAAAATTATATATATACACTTATACACACGGTGGACACAGAAATCATATACGCGTGTACATTCTATTTAGGGTGTTAGAAGGTAGGGTCGATCGAGGGCATCGAGTATTATAAATCATAATATATCGTACGTGTTTATCATGCGATTACACGCATTCATGTTATACTTTCGGCCGTTTCTTACCAGGAATGGGACGAAACGATTTATTAACGAACGATTCATCGAAACGTTGTTGACGAAAGCGTGATACGGGGAATGTTGCTGTTTGTTAAAGAGACCTAGGAAGTGATTTGAAAATGTTGAAAGACAGCATTGAGATTTATTTTCTTAAAAATTTTACTGCGGTTTTACGCTATTTAACTCTTCGCTTATTTAAAAACGAATCCAAATTCTTAGGCAAACTTAAAGTCAACGAATGATTGATACGGCTTTAAGGAATATCGATTTATTGCTTCGTTTAATTTATTACAGCAAGGAGTTGAACGGTAGGAAATTATGTTTTCAGAATTAGTTTTTAGTGTATCTGTTAAACGATTGGTGACTCACGGATATGTTTTAATATCAGTTTGAGTTACTTTAGTTTGCGAGTTCTTCCAAGTTGATCTTTTGTATCTTCCATATTGAAACTGATTAATAAAAATCTTCCATTCGTTATTTTAATTTAGAAGAGTTCTCGATTAGTTTCGCGAACGAATCTGTGAGTCACAAGTAGCATTTAAGATGATGGAAAAAATAAGTAAGGCGGCGACATTTGTAACAAAAGGAAGAAGAAAAATGGGGAAGATATGGTGAAGACTGAAATGTTTGTACCGACTCAGGGAACAGAGAGAAGCGACCGAGGACAAAATCTCTTTTAGAAAAAAAGAAATCGATTAGGACAAATGCGTTTCATCGAGGTGTGAAACGCGTGCTTCTACCAAAGACGACCGAAGCAACATCGCTCTGCAAAGACCAAATAAACAACACACACACATAAAACAATGATAGGAAAAAATAAACGAAGCGTATAATTTACCGATTCATGTGTAATTTCGTGGGGGCGTAACAGTTTAATAAAGAACAAGACGAAGATCATGGGAGGAGTAATACATTTAAACGAAAGAGAGAAGAACAGATATATATATAAAAATTATATATATTTAATATAAGACTATACTAGAAGAACATATTTCTTTAATAAGAGGATATTTCTATTTAGGGAATCATACGAGTCACTATTGAGTCTTCGATAAGTTGGAAATTTGTGAATTACTTTTAATAATGTACATTATCTAGGACGTCGTAAGAGTCTAGTGCATTTTTTTTCTTGTGATTCTTCGAATTCGTCATATCAATTGATCGAATTAATAAATTAATTATATTTATGTTAGTTCTTCCTAATATAAGACTATACTAGAAGAACATATTTCTTTAATAAGAGGATATTTCTATTTAGGGAATCATACGAGTCACTATTGAGTCTTCGATAAGTTGGAAATTTGTGAATTACTTTTAATAATGTACATTATCTAGGACGTCGTAAGAGTCTAGTGCATTTTTTTTCTTGTGATTCTTCGAATTCGTCATATCAATTGATCGAATTAATAAATTAATTATATTTATGTTAGTTCTATTGAAGGTGCACACACTTGGTGAAGTGCGCGTCTCTATTTTTTGTTCCTTATATCATGAAAAATCGGACAGCGTGTGTTCGTAATGATTTCGATTGGTACTTTATAATAAAGGAAAGAAAAATTGCGCGACAGACTTTTTCAGGCATCCTACGTGCATATATTATATATACATAGTTATAAATGAATTCAAGCTTGTACCATACGATAAAAGAGTGCTGTTTTGTTGCTATAAGTACGTAAGAGAGATGAGATACCTTTGTTACTACTGGTTGTTAAATATATCATAACATAATATTTATTTACATAATGGACTTTTTACTCGCTGCGTGTACCCTCTTCCTCGAACTCTTAAGATTTTCTAGGTGCTTTTACTATTAATTTATACGTAACTATAAGCCAGAAAGTAGAAACTGTTACTTGAACAAAAATTCGATCATTTATTATATTATTTTGTAGTCTCTTTATTTTATGTTTCTATCTTCGAAGCACGTGATGGATTTATGTTTATAACTTATAATTGTACATTATATGATCAATTGATAAAAAATATGAAAAAATTAAATTCAACGATCCTGCCAGGATTCGAACCTGGAATCTTCTGATCCGTAGTCAGACGCGTTATCCGTTGCGCCACAGGACCCTAGGACATGGCAAATATTACGTGCTATATGCCAAATTTGATTAACAATATGAATCGAAAAAATGCTTTCTTTACTTGAATCATAATTTAAAAAATACATATAAAAAACAGAGGATAGGTTGAATGAAAAAGGAATCACATTTTTTTTATATAGAAGTTTATTCCGTAACTTGAAAGTTGAATTTGAACGCAGTTTCAATATTTTCATCATTAGAGTTGACGGATTCTTTTACGGACATCGAAGCAGCCCTTTTTAAAAATGTGCCTTTTTTATTTTTACTAGATGGAGATATAAATTTGATAGACGACGCGGTTCTCCCATGTTTCTGTTCATCTTGAGCCATCTTTTCCCTATAATCTCCTAACGTATTCCGCATTATCTGTCTTTTCTTGATCAGAGGCACCGTATTGCTTTTCAGTGTTATTATACTTTTGTTTAGATCCTGCATCTGTCTCTCGGAATGCCGCCTATTGGCTAAACACAGCTCCAAATGCTGAATACACCAACATAACTCTAATTCAAATTGATCTTCGGCCTCCTGGCTCAAACCACTTGCGGTTTCCACATTACTGTTTCCGGAATTCGTTAATTTCGGAGGTTCTGCATTATTTCTCTTCGTTCCTAATTTCTTCCCGCTCTGAAATTGTTATTTATTACGAATTTAATATTATTATAGGTTAGAACATGTGGTTATTGATCGAATTCGTAATGGAACACGTGAATACCGGTTTAGATTTCGGAGGCATGTTTTAATACAAAGTAACAAAACGCTTCAACTGTTCTTTTTTTTAAAATTGTTATTATTTGTGGTTGTATTCAATTGTTGCTTTCAATTATCGTTACACACTATTGCTCTCTCTCGACTCGTTTCACACGTCAAAATAAAAACAATTTTAACCTACGTCTGGATAAATAGTTACCGATGCAATTTTATTTTGAAATTGAATGTAAAGGGAATGTGAAAATACAAGAACGGTGTAAATTATAAAAATAATAAACGTTATTCNACAGATTCGACGGGCGAATTTCGTTAATGTACGCCTTCAGATTCTGGAATTATTGCAACTGGAGTTAGTTGCAGCAATTGATATGCGAACATAGTGCTGTAGTCAAAGGGTTAAATTAAATCAATTAAGTAATTTAAAATTATGTTTCTTACTAACTCACCTTGTATATTGTGTAACAATTTCCATTTATCGAGATATGTTTTTTATTTGGCTTGATTTTTAGAATTCTAATAGTATTTTCATCTGCCAAACCATACACATATAAGAGTAGGAAGAAAATTGTAGGTAGGACAAGTCACAATTGTTTGTAATTATCAAAAATATTATTACTGTAAATACATTGACTTACAAACGACACAAACGGGACACAGGAGTGACAGGGCCGAGCGCTCATCTATTTTCAAATCAATAACGTACGACGATTACACAATAAATAAATACATATCACATCCCGAAGGAACAGACGCGTTTTCGTTAAACGATCCGCGTTATTCTAACGTAGCGACGATGACTATTTCCAATTGTCATTCATCTTATTTACAATTTTTTTCTACGTCAGTCACATACAAGCACGTACAATGTTCTTTACGGATACGCATAATGATTTATTTTGCGCTACAGTTTAACAAATTTCATTTATTATCTACAGCGTGTTAACTTGAAAATTTTTTTCGCAATTTATTTATGCCCACGTTTATTTATACTTCCCATATCCACCAGACACTTTGTACAGAATATTATTCCTTTTTAATATATACACAACGAAACGTATTATAATAAGTACATTGTCTATACATTGCTTTCAATCTTAATAGAAATCACTAAACGCATATTAATGAACGATAAAACCAAATGCATTATATTACTTTCCAGGATAAGTCGCGCGCGCCAAAGATATGTATAAGAAATTGATAAGACAGTGGCTAATTTTCAAATGTGGAAGACTAGACACTTTTTAGTGTCAAAAGAATCATAAGTGATAATTTTTATCATCGTTAATTATATATTAATTCGATTCTTTATTCTTATAACGAAATCGACATCTGCCACTCATAATTGAGGACTTGAAATTGTTTGCTCAGGACTTGAATATCTAAACCTTCTTCAAGAGAATCATTTTGATGTATTGTTTCATATGTGGTCAAACATTTACAATCGGGGACAATATTAAGTATATCTGTGTACATAATAAAATAAATATTTTACACTGATACTATAAATATTCTATTTTGCATAAAATCTATAGTCTACTAAAGTCTACTTTATATTGTCCTGAACGTGGTACCATTTCAAGTCTTGAACTTACGATTTGCCGCGGTCCTAAGCAACACTCGAAAAGCATATCTAGGTATACCGATGGACACAGTACGAGAACGATTAGGTTTTCGATGAGAAGTCTAAGTAGTAAGAATCAGTCTTCACATTTCGAAACAGTTCATGTGTACGATGAAAAATTTGCAGGAAACTAGAGTCCTTGTAGGACCCCCATTAAAACGATGTCCCACACTCGAAAGCCCGGCATCTCAGACAGGCCACTGTTCGCTGTTCTCGTTCCACATAGTCATTGAGATTTCCTCCTTCCTAACTTCCGGCTTCTTAGCGGTACGATTTCCCGGCGCAGCGTACGTGCTCCTTCCTGCAAGCTTCAGCGATTTCAAACCGGGGAACCACTTAAGCAGCCGCCACCACTTCTTCCTGGAGTCGGAGTCGACGTTTGAAGTTTTAGCAGTTGCATATTTAGTTGGTCTACTCGAATTCTTCAAACATCCATTATCGTTGCCCCCGTTTTTCCTCTCATGATTCTCTGTGTTTCCATTATGGAGAGTATTTCGCGTTGTGTTCATCTCCTCGAGTTCATCCCCATCCATACATCGTTGTTCCAACGAAGTCACCTGTTTCGGGCTGTCCTCGCGAACCGAATTGCCGGAATAGTCGGTGCTTTCAGGAGCGATCCGGGTGCCCATGGTGCCGGCCGTTCTCGAGCAGCCGATCGCCCGCTGCTGCGATCGCGACAAGCTTGAATAAGATCGTTGCTCGTTGCGAATCACCAGCCCCGGTATCCTCCAGCTTCGTGACAATGTTTCCTATAAAAACGAAATAACGCCCACATTCGGGCTTGAGACGCCACGTTTCTGGAAGTGACGTAGGTTAAGGAGAAGTTACGGATGACCTCAGGGTTGTTCCGAAGCGTGGGTGGGTTCTCGATAGGGCGACCGGGTTCGATTAGACGAAACTTGCACAAGTGGGCTAGTTGTCAGGTGTAGGGGTAAGCGAGGTTGTGCTAATTGACTCGTGCGAGGCGATTGATTAAGGAAAGTGGCTGGCTTGTTGAAGTGTGGGGAATTATCGCGACGAGAAGTCTGAATGATGATTAGCTTCCAGTAGGGGTTACAGGCGATTGATACGTTCTTAATAATCTCCTGAGTGTAATATTAATATAAATACATGAAATAGGGAGTGTTTAAGGATTATACATATATGTTGAAATCGTGAGATGTGAATAATTGTCATTGAAAATGCGTAAAGTCCGCAGTCTAATAATAAAAAATATTTTTTTGAAAAAATAGAACTTCTTTCACGACTTCGAACGCATCTAATCCCTTGAAAAGAATTACAAAAATAAAGCACAATAGTTTTCTTATCAAATAACATAATTGATAAACTAAATATCAATTTGCCTCAAGATTAACCAGACACCAATTGAGCGTGTATTTAGTATTTAACTCAGCGCGTGCTCGCATAACTTCTAATTGCGTGACGCTGTTGTAGCCAAGGGAGGGTAAAATGTTATTGTTACTCACCATGAACGCGACGCGAAATTTGTTCGACATGATGTTGTATAGAATTGGGTTGATCGTTGTAGAGATATAATAGAGGATGCCGGATATGTAGGTCATCAGGAGATAAATGAACTCGATCCACTTGCTGTTCGACGTCAGGTGGTCCTCGGTATTAGTCCCGTAAATAGCGATCAGTCGTTGCACGTGAAACGGGGCCCAGCAGATAAAGAATGCTATCACCACTGCGACTGTAACAGCAGAGTATAAATTCACTTATCTTGCCAGGATATATTTCATTGCCATTTTTCACATGATATACTACTACAGAGATATTAATATATGTTCTAAAATTATGATTTACGATATTACTTTTTACAAAATAAAATGAACAATATTTATTACAAATAAAAGAGATATGAATCGTTTTACTACTATCTGAAAGTTTCATATAAGACTGGTTTTCTCGTTAAGGATCAGATATTTGAACAGTTTATACACCTTTCAAGGGAAAATCCAGGGTGATCTATGGTATAAGATTTCCAGTAAAAACCTGTCATTTAAAATGATTTTGATAAATGGCCTGTGAAAACGATTAACTGTCTACAATTGAATGTATAAAAATATATGCTAGGAGACAATTTGTGTCCAGGTTTGTGTCACAGTTAAATTTATTTTCCAAGGCGAGGTAGCAAAATATGGTGGTCGATCAATTGTTGACGGAACAGGAAGAGAGAAACGAAACCGGTAGCCTAGAGAATGATTGGTCAGGCTAAATTTAAAACCATAAATCTTCACCAGCCCAGGTATAACGGTGGAATAATCGGGAGGTCGAGCAAGTATTTTTTCCAAACATTGCGTCAAAGCTACGTCGACGGGACAATATTAATGACGGTCTCGTGCGGAGAATCGTCGACGAAAAATTCCAGGAAGGAATCGCGCCGCAATGACTCCGATTGATTTTATATTATCGTATTGCTCACGGATTCATTTAGTAGGGATTGATATTAGCTATCAATTTCGCCTGACTTCTCTTAGGAGACTATAAAAACTGTCGTATCGAATAGTAAAGTTGTAATACGTATCAGGCAAAATTCTATACATATAAAAACTACAAGCGTCGCGACTGTTTGATCAAACTGTTTGAAGAACCACTTCCTGCTTCAGCGTCAACGTAACACCGTCGACACTTTATTTCCCCGCTTATCTCAACTCTCCAGGGGATTGTTTTCATAAACGCGCGAACTTATTTCCCTATATTCATAAAAAAGTCGGAATATCAACAAGCGAAGAAGCCCCGGAATTATTTTCATTTTATTGAAACATTTTACGCTCACGGCGAATACTGAAGGGAAGATCCAATCGAATCATCCTTGAGAAAGCTCCCGGATTAGGCTCAGATCTCTCAATGAGATTCGTGGAATGAAAAATAGCCAGATTTGCAAGCTTGCTTTCCTTCGACATGTGAAGGGCTTTGAATCTTTCATGAAGTTAATTAATGTCTTCGTTGGAAAAAAAACGAGGAACGATAGTCTGTTGGAGCGTATTTACACATTAAAGATCCTTAAGTGGAGAAGTACTTTTATGCAAAATAAAACGTTTCCTGGATTAAGCTCAGATCCGAATGAGATTCATGGAATGAGAAACAATCAGATTCGCAAGTTTGCCGTTCTTCGAATCTTTTGTAAAGTTAATTAACCTCGTTGTTGGAAAAGAGGAAGAACATTAATTTCTGTTTTGCTGGTTGTAGTTGAAAGAAACGTTAATAATAAACTATTCAGTTTTAACACTATTATTAGTTTAATATTGTGTCCTCAATTAAACTTTTGACTTTTCCTATACTGGTTGTTAAATTAATTAATTAAATCGAGGAAAAACGATTAAACTAATGATAATAATTGTAAGCGGAATTGTCAAAAGACAACACTTGCTGGAAATGGTGTTAAATGTTCTAATTGGAGGATATAAATATCCTCTATTGGATCGTTATCAACATGTCATTCATAAAATAATTACGTTTGAAATTTAACATTTTATTTAATACTTTATAATCTAATCGCAAATGTGTTTGCTTGTCTTTGAGAAGTTAGGAAAGCAAAGAAAGAAAGAATGATCGAAGTGAGGTAACGCTGTTTTGGAGTAATAGAGTGTATTGTTCGTTGGTAGCTCGTGCGATTACGAGGCGGTATTGCGCGGGCCGCTTTTGAAAGAATATGCAAATATCGGAATTGATATGCGGCTTAGGTCAAGATCAACTGAGTTATAGCATTTCTCGGCGACGTGCCGCACACGCTCCGTCTGAATAATTCATTCAGGTGCCAGAATGTGCGTCGCGCTCGTTATAATCCGTTCAGATTTTACTTTCTTTCAACGAAACAGAGATCTTTGCGACTGTTTTGCCATTTCATCGTCCATCGAACTTAAATAATAAAGAATAATTAGAATTAACCGAATAATAAAGGATTTAAAATGTTACGTTTATTTATATGAAGCATCAATTTATTGTATATTCTCAGAAAGCGTTTTAGAAAATAATTCTCGCGGAAATTTCACGAATCGATCCTCCGGGAACTCGTCCTAGCAGGCAGGAAGTTGGAAGTTACGAACAGGATTTATGTATCTCGCCGCCCCAGGTGGAATTGGTTCCGAGGAACGGTGAATTTTTTACCATACCATGCCATGAGACAGAATTTACACGAGTCACGTCACACGTTTCGCTTGGCAAAGGGATATTTCCGTTCCGTAGCTTTTCGTGCCACGATGAGTTGACTTTCGAACCTTTTCGATTTCGAGTAACCGAAGCGCAACACCTCTGGGACTAAATGGAATTGAGATCTCTGGCGAATGCATGGAACATGATACTCTTTGGGCAGCTTCTGAAACTGTTAACGAGCTTTACGCTTTGTTACTGTTTACTGAAGTATCGAATTCACTTGTCTCAGAGTCCTTGTTAGTTACTTTCCAAATTTCTGTTGTTAATTATTATAGGTAATGCGTTGACTAAATTTGATTATATGAAATTTGATATAATTGATTAAATATAAACGATACTTTGTTAAAGAAAGATTTTGTTAAATCCACTGCCTTATGCATTTTACTGCTCACTCATCATTAGACTGTGGGTTTTATAAGTATGGATTTATAAGAAAACTGAATGTGCGAAGAATATAAACACTGCATATAATGTACAAAAGTATAGGAAATATTAAGAGTAGAGTGCATATTGCAATATAAAAGCTTGTTATTTTTAGAACAGGCACTGTAAATATTTTGCATACAAATCTGGTCTACTCATCATTAGATGATTTCATGTTTTTATAGAAGAATTGCGCAGAAAATATAAAGCATAATATTAAAAAATCAGATGTGCAGAGAAGCACGAAGCATAATATTAAAAAATGTGAAGAACACGAGAAGTATAATTATACGTCACTATTTTTGAAGGGTAAAAGAAATTTTAATTTAGATTTCATTTTTTAAATTGACAACACAAGTGCTTTATTTCCCATAAAAATCCGCAGATTGTTCATTATAAACTAATTAATTATAAATAATATAAAAGTGTGTTAGATTTTTATACATGTTTCTGCTGTAAGACGAAGTGGCTTAACGAGGGACTATTTCCATCAATAGTTGCTTTTTGTCGTTATTAATTTAACGGTGTAAGTATAAGTGCACGAGACGAATGATTCACTCGTATATATTATGAAAATGTGGAAGTGAAAAAACGAAACACGCGGATCGCGAATGTTAATTGTACTAAGAATACAAAGTAATTAACGTCTAGGCTTGATTAAGTCGTCCCGATGATCGGCATCTTAATACAGGAAAATTCTTCGAAATTCCTCGTTGAATAAAAAGCAAGAAAGAAAGAAGCGAAACAAGCGCAAGGCAATTGATCACTTTAAAGGCCCTGCTTCATCATTTCTTCCCCAACAACGAAGTGGAAGAGACAATGAGCTGAAAAACATTATTAATTGCTGATAAATCCGTGCCATTTACGTTCCTTAAAATATTAATAGTATTGAACTTTCTATTTATTATTATATAGTATTTTATATATACTCGGTTTTGTATATTTGGTCTAATTTTAGTCCTAATTTTGTCGGTCATTGATTCAATTATTCAAAGACAAGAAAATCCTTCGGTGTCTATAAGTTGTCACGTGAATCCTACCGGTTTAGCAAGTTTTTTTCGCGAAAAATCGACAGAGTCACGATTACTGCAATAAATTCCCTTTGATCGTAAATCGAGATCGCAGAGAGACGTAGCCGTTAAGTTCGCAATTATTAAAATGTACAGCACGGGACATGAAAGAGATTCAAACAGATAGTAATTAATTCCTTCAGGTTTAATCGATGCTTCAGAAATCATTACAGAACAGATCGTGCATAAAGTAATAATAATTTCATGTTTGACTTACGTTTTTCCTACTTTATTGCTCTCCCTCAGTATTTTTTTAGAATTCAGTTATTTATTTAGAATTTAATTGTTTTATTCTTAGCCAGAGAAAAATGTTAAGCAGAGAACGTTTCATTTCTTTCCTAAAACATTCTTATGAAGAATTGTACGAACGACAGTTCTGGTTAACATGTTATAAGAAAAAATATCCTTATACCCAGGGACAATTTATTCTCCTCAAAGCTATCATTATTTTACCTTACACGATTTTATCACGATTACTCTCACGCTGAACGCAAAAACATAGTATGTATGTGTATACTTTCCACTATGTAACGTGCGATAGAATAACGTTTATCGATTCTTCGTGGGCTGCGTATCATCAACGCGTCCGTGATAAACTGGCGCCATTAATGAATTCACGGATTAAACGCTCCGACAGATGCTCGTTCGGGTTCAATCGTGATATTATTGCCGCAGGGTCTGTCCTGAGTAATAATGCGCGGTTGCGCAATCGATCATCAACGTTCCAATTGCTAATAATTTTGGACCCCCAACGTCCAACGAGAACCAATTGCTTCTTGGGAAGTCCGGGCAAACGCTCATTCACGTTCATTCATCCACAGATACTGCTATGTTTACGATACGACGGTCGACCTCTTTTTAAAAATCA